TATGTCATCAACTCAGCAAGCAAGCCCCCGAAATAAACAGTCACATAATCTACTCGCATAATTGTGGTTAAACAATTAACTTGATAACTTTGTCATTTTAAGTTCGATCTTCTATAAATAGTTTAAGTTGATTTGTTACTTTGTGATCCTTTAACAACTAGAATCACAATACAAATTTCACCCTAAACACACATTAATATCAATTGCAGACTCTCTCATAAATCAAAGAAATCAACATACAATTAATATTAATCAAAAAAAACATTTTCAGTGTTTGAAAATGTTTTCCGTTGACTGAATTTTTCTGTTGCATCCAAATACTAAAAACTCGAAAAACATTTTTCAGAAATCATTTTCCGGGTTTTCAAACGGACCCTAAAAGAATCAAGGTGTAATGTTTTTCCTTTTTTAGTTTTTTAGTTTTTTTTTTTTTTTTAAACTACCGAAAGACCTAAAGCAGATTAATCAAGACTACAGATTATTGTTAGTTCATTAACGAACTTATTCCGTACGATATTATTTTTAACAGTTAATTTCATTGTTGATCATAAATTTATAGATGACATTTCACTTTTAGTCCATTTTTTAAAACATTTCTTGTTGGCCTTAGTATTATTTTGGCACGATCAATTGTGGTCATTCGTCAGCAAACCTATTTAAGTTGCGTTAAATATGAGGGTGTTTCAATCTATTATGTTCTAAGTGTTAATTTCTTTTTTGGTGATCATAGATTTATATATGTCATTATACTGTTGCGGAGGCGTGTATTGCAATTGAAGAAGGCACGAGACTCTAGCCGTAAATTAGAGATTTAAAAAAATATATATAACAAGTTACCATACCCACTTTGTATAGAAAGACCAATTAAAATGGTCTCGTAATTAACGTTATTTAAACAGATTTGTTAACGGTAATTCATGCCACAATAATAATATGACCAATATGGAATGATTTGAGTAAAAAAATGATTAAAAGTATAGGACTAAAAATATAATTAACTCTATTTTACATATCAATATATCATCACACGCTATCTTATTATATTCTAATATTCAAAGTATAAAATTTTGTTATCAACAAGTTGGGATTGGGATGTGAAAGTATTTGGATGACAAAAGATGTTTATTATTACACCGCACATGCATAAATAGTGTCCAAAGCAACTTCTGATGTGGTAATGATAAGAGGAATTGATGAATCGGGTCATCATGCCGGAGTCCTACTCCACTAGTTATGAGGATAATGTTGTTGTTGTTGTTGTATTCTTGAACCAATGATAAATGCTAAGAGCTAGACAGGACTAACTTTTCAGGCCACATACATACAACAATTGATTTGATTTCATTCTTGTCATTTCTCATATACTCATAATTATAGTTACCATAGTGGAGTTATATCTATCTCGATCTACCATGTCCATTGTCTTTCTAACTGCGAAGTACATATATATATATCATGCCCCTCCCCACGGCCCATCGTTGTTTGGTCTCGTTACCCATCATATCATTTCTGCCTTTATCTTCCTTATTAAACTCCGCGTGGTTGTCTCAGTTGAGTTGTGTCTGCTGGCTGAAAAAATATAAAACATATCTAATACGGAGTAATTAAATTTGGAAGAGCCACATATGTGCCATTGAACTACAAGCTACCTATCACACATGATCTTTCTAGTATGCTTGGCTCTTATATGTGATTTGTGGGCTATTACACATTTACACAGTACATATACAAAGTCTACGTAGTACATATTTTCATATAATAGTTGTGATGAGTTACGTCTTTCACCTAAAGAAAGTAATAGAAATGACATTTCATGTATACAAGTTGGCTATTATTGAAGACTTGAACAGCGTTGGACATTCCGATCCTCTCAAGAAATGAAAATTCATGTTATATTACAAGAAGATTCAAGAAAAAGTTGAAGCATGATTTAGATATATAACAAGTTTTGAAATTTCACGTGCCTGCAGGTTATAAAGTAGAAAATATTCTTATCACCAGAAGATTTAATTTCCTCCTCCTTTCACCATTACATTTCACTCCCTTTCCCCATGATGATTCCAATGATAAGGAAACCCATGATCCAAAATTTGACTAATTATTACTCACCCACTACTATTATAAAACATGACATTAATTAAAGCATATATGAAGGAATCTAATCAATCAACTCTTGTAACTAGTTTAATTGATTCCCAAGTGAAAGATCGCACCAAAAGATAAATGTATGATTGAATCCTGACAATCATAATGTTAGAGTTTCGCCCTCTTTGGAGGGGGGGGGGGGAAGGGGGAAGGGACTCCTTACGAGCACTAAACACTGATATTTCCATCTTAACACATCCATAATCCCTATAGAGCCAGAGTGTGAGGGTAAAGAATTTCGCTTTATTTAACTCTTCCACAATTTCTATAGGGTTTGTGTGTGAGGGGCGAGGGATTATATGGATGCCGTGCTTAATAGGTATAGAAGAATCATATCTTTCTTGTCATTTCTTATAATAATGCAATTGGGTTGAAGCATTCTTAATGATAAAGATTTTGTTCCCAACAATCTCTTTGATGCCACTCAAACTTCACAGAAATTGTGTATTATATTGACAAGTCATGCATACTTGGCAGTGAATATTTTGGCTGGTGGAATGAAGGCTAAACCACTTGTTATCCTTTAGTGAACCAATCAAACAAAGTTGGATGTTCTCTGCATCTACCTGTATACAAAATCCATGATCCTCTCTAAGATTAGGAGCATATATTAATATATAACATGACTGCGAATAAAGAAAACTCCTATAAGCATCCTAAACCACTTTAAAGTATTCTCTCCCTAGCTGAGATACACTTTTATGAGATCTTCTTTTTTAAAATAGGGGTGAAAGGAAACAATTAATTATATCTAAGTATAAATTATGTATTCCGATTCAACTAAAATACATAATTAATTGGAGGCTTTATTGGTTCTTTGTGTTTCAGTAGGTTGAGAAAGTATATGAACAGATACTACAATGTAATAGGGCCAGTAACATTCAAAAAAAAAATACATAATTAATTAAAAGTTGACTGCACATGTATGTTTATATTTTACACTCAACACGCCGTCTGGCTTGCATGGCATGGGTTTAATTAGTTTTGATACCAAATTAAAACATGTCTTTTATCTTAACTAAAAGTCTAAATTGATAATTGAACTACATATTTATGTTTATATATTATATATGCTCAACATACACTTCAAATGATTTTATCACTTTAGTATCTCTTATACTGATATTACACAGAAAAGAAAAAGGAATAAGTGAATAATGGGGTCATCATTTTGAAAGAAATCATTTGTTTTTCAGTTGAATAATTTCTGTTGTCTCAATTAAAAATCTAAATTGATAGTTGAATAACACCGAACCATTACCTTTTCATAGGTGATTTAATACCAAATTGAAGAATGCCTTCCATCACAACTAAAAGTTTAAGCTGATAATTATATTGTACATTATATATATATATATATATATATATATATATATATATAATATTATGTTCAACATATTTAACCACTTACATAATCTCAAAAGATTTTTGAGTCACTTAAATATGAGATTAGAGATTTGATCACTGTAGTATGGAAAAAAGCAAAATCACATATTTGGACCAAGTCAGCCCTATTGTTTTTAACTGAGAATGATATAAGTAGACTAAGGCCTTCCGTATAGTAATTTATGGGCTGGGTCTTATTTAATCACATATTTATGGGCCCAGGTGAAAGTTTTTGCGCAAATTATGTTGTGGAAACGTGTTTACATGCCCATGGTGAATACAGGAATTGATCCATAATTTTTATACTGTTGATTTTTTTTTTTTTTTTGAAACGTAAATTCATAATTTTATTTTTCATTTGTTGTTACAAATATTATGAATCTACAGTACAAAAATTATGAATCTACAGTATAGAAATTATGAATCTACAGTATATAAATTATGAATCTACAGTACATAAATTATGAATTTACAGTATAGAAATTATGAATCTACAGTACAGAAATTATGAATCTACAGTATAGAAATTATGAATCTACAGTACAAAAATTATGAATCTACAGTATAGAAATTATGAATCTACAGCACATAAATTATGAATCTACAGTATAGAAATTATGAATCTACAATATAGATGTTATGAATTTATAGTATAGAAATTATGAGTCTATCCCGTTAACAACAAATGAAAAAAACAAAATTATGAATCTATATTTAAAAAAAAAAAAAAAAAAAAAAAAAAGGAATAAGGTTCAAATTGGCCACTAAACGTAACTTGAAAATGCAATTAGGTTACTGAATGAAAAAAAAAAAAGTGTAATTAGGCCATTGAACACTCCAAAATGTATGCAATTTCACCTGATAGCAGGTTACCATCAATTTTAGCGGGTTACCTGCTTATGTGGCAGCTGAGTTGACATTTTTATTAATTTTTAATAATAAATTAAAAAAATGGAATTAAAAAAAAAAACGACGGGGTGGCCGTTTTATTTTTATTTTATTTTTCATTTTTTAAAATTTATTATTAAAATTATTAAAAATGTCAATTTAGCTGCCACGTAAGTAAGTAACCTGCTAAAATTGATGGTAACCTGCTATCTGGTAAAATTGTATACATTTGGAATGTTCAGTGGCCTAATTGCACGTTTTTGAAGTGTTCAATGATTTAATTACACTTTTTTTTTTTGTTCAGTGACTTAATTGCATTTTCAGATTACGATCAATTTGAACCTTATTCCATAAAAAATTATGAATTTACAATATAAAAATTATGAATCTACCTTGTATTTACCATGCGTATGGTGAACGCGTTTCCAAAACATAACTATTTAAAGTTCTTGGCGGAAAATCAGGAGCAGTAGAACCGTCAACCGTAGAGCGGTAGATAAGCGCTGACCTCTTAATAACTGCTCATTATTATCATTACGTCAGTAAAAAAACAATCACATTCATCCGAAATATAAAAGGATAAAAATAAAAATAAAAATAAAGGAGGAAGAAGGAGAAGACTTAAACGCCTCCGTCGATAATCGGAGACCATTCGACGGGGCGTTTAAGCCGGTCAAATAATCGATTTGTTCATTTATAATCCGATTCGAGATCTCTTTTATCTTCTTATTTCAAATTTCTGTAATAAAGAAATTATCTAAGTAACGCACGAGAGAGATTTTGCGGCGAGATGGAGAAGTTAATGAGCAGGATTCGAAGCTTGGATGCGTATCCGAAGATCAATGAAGATTTCTACAGCAGAACTATCTCCGGTGGCGTTATTACCCTAGCTTCCTCCATAGTCATGATATTGCTGTTCATTTCCGAGCTCAGTTTGTTCCTCCATCCCTCTCTCTTTACGTATTTCTGTATGCATATTTAAACGCCTCCGTATTTATATTATTGAATTGGTTTATGATGCTTCCGAGATGATTAATTTGATGAATTGAATATATGCTCGTTTCAATTTTGCCATACGGGTAAATAGAAATCTAATTCCATTTTTGAGATTTTTTGTTATTCCTCATTTGTTTACAATGCAATCTTAATCGACAAATTCTACAAAGAATTCCGTCTGTATTTTAGACTACTTGATTAGCCAGATCACTGAATTTTTGTATGTAAGAGGCTTACAAGTATGTCTCTCTAGGTCCCAATTTTGACCATTCATGAAAATGGTTTATTCTGTTTGGAAGTGGGAAATAGCTGGTATAAATTGCCACATTCAAGTTGTTAGCTCATAATGTAATTATGTAAGTAATGCACATTGCTATAGTTTCTTAGTATATTAAACTTAAAAAGCAAAATTTCTTGGTTTTATATAACCTCTCTTGCAGTGTCTTAAATGTTGCAACTCCTTGCAGGGCTGTATCTCCATGCTGTAACTGAGACAAAGCTTGTGGTAGACACTTCAAGAGGAGAAACACTTCGTATTAATGTAAGATTATATTCTGGGCCTTTGAGCTATGTGAATGAATAATTTATTACTTCTACAATGACATTGCATTATGTTACAAAATTATGATGCTCGAATTCTTATATGACTGTTCCAATATTAAATGAATCACATTTCATAACCCATTCTTGTTCATTAGTTTGAATGAACTATGGATATGCCTTTTTCATTGTGCGGTTGTGCCAAAAACCAGATTTCTATTTTCACAATTTATGAAAGAAAAAAAAAAAAGTCTATTTATGTTGACGTGAACCACTTTTGTCTCATGAATAAATTTCCCGTGCCTTTCTTTCCCTGCAGTTTGATGTTACCTTCCCAGCACTTCCATGTTCCATTCTCAGTGTTGATGCCATGGATATAAGTGGAGAGCAGCACCTTGATGTTGTATGTAGAATTTTGTATATCTCTACTTATTACAGAATATAATAATGTTATTATAATCATTCTGTATCCCCTGCTTTCTCCCTTTTTGATATGACATCATCTTGCTTTCAAAAATTATGTGTATATATTTTCCTCGAAATAAATTTAATATTTTATGCTGATGAACAAATTTGATTAATTTCACTTTTGGTGTGTTGATTATACTGGAATTTCCAGATTTAGTCATTAACTATAAATTTGGCCAAATGTAGTGTTTTGACGTTTTCAAGTTGACCAAATTTGCTCCAAAATGTCCAAATCACCAAATTCATCCATTTTGGATGTGAGGGCATTTCGGTCATTTTGGAAGTCTGGTATTAAATCTTGTTAAATTCATATTATTATGGGATAAATGTAGAAATTTCATTATTTTTGGGGGACTAGAAGCAGAATTAGTCCGTATGTTGATGCTTTGGTCATGATTTGAAATTAATCCATCATTGGAATGCTGCAATATGCCACTAGCACTATCATACTCTTGCTCTTGGAAACCAGTAATATAAACTATTAATGAGGTCTAGAAAAAATCTCATGGATTTTTATGAGCATGTAGTCTTCAAGTTAGAAAAGGAGTGCTGAAAAGTAGGTTTGAAGAATTCAGCACCAAAATGCAAATGGTAGTGTTCAAATGTCCTCTAATTGTCTCTGGTTTTATGCTCACTCGCAGAGACATGACATTATCAAGAAAAGGATTGATTCTGATGGTAATGTAATTGAAACAAGGCAGGATGGTATTGGTGCTCCAAAGGTGAGTTAAATATCAAGTTTTCATATTCAAGCATTCATTAGCAATGGGTAATATAATTAGTAGAGTCTATAAAAAAGGCATCATATTTTTGTTATCATAGATTTCTTGCTCTGCTCAAATACAGGTTAGAGTGTAGAAACAAGAAATTAGAACTTTTGAATTTCTATAGCTAAAGCAGTCATTTTGCTTCCAATCTAGAGTTTATTTTTGATTTAGTCATTTAGACCAAAACCTGTTTTTCCATTGTTTCTTACCACACTAATTGTTTTCACAGATTGAAAGACCTCTGCAAAAACATGGTGGTAGGCTTGAACACAATGAGACATACTGTGGCTCATGTTACGGTGCAGAAGCGGTATGTTTCTTTTTACCTTTCCATGATGGCCTGTTATATTCTATAGCTGTAACTTCTGATGAAGTAATATATATAGTTGTCTAGTTGACACCATATAGATAATGATAAAAGGCATTAGCTACATCATCGGAACTCTAGGCATTGCCAAATATACAATCTTTATCTGCAATCTATAACTTTGACATTTAAGTTTCTACTAATCATGTATGACCGCGCTCATCTTAGACCTTGTTCTTTTGCTATATATGCTAGCTGATAGGAAAGTGAAGCAACTCAAGCAAGGCTAGTTCATTGTAACTACAACCTTGAGCACTGTTGTGAATTTGATCCTCGCAATGCTATGAAACAATCAAATTTTACTCCCATCTAATGCTTATTCGTCTAATCGTCTGTAATGATTTGAGCAGCTATTATTTGTATTTCTTACTCCTTTGTGTTACATTGTTTGTATCACTTATCTTTCCACTCATCAAATATAAGTACTAAAACTTATTATATTTTTCTTAACACCAAACCACAAACTTTCCTCTAGGCTCATTTTTATGCTAGGTAGCTATTAAAACATTAATTTGATTATTCTTTAACATATTAACTTATTATTTTGCCTATGTTTTCCTTTTAATTCTGCAGTCAGATGACCATTGTTGCAACTCTTGTGAAGATGTTCGTGAAGCTTACAGAAAAAAGGGCTGGGCAGTGTCAAATCCTGATTTAATTGACCAGGTCAGTTTTACATTTTTATAGTATCCCACACCCTGGTGGCACATTACAAGTCTTAAAGCAAAATAGAAAAATGAGTTGACCATCTCTGCTTCCATAAAATCTAGTTGCTTTGCCGAACTGGGGCATAGTTGCATACTGGGATTAAGTAATTAATCTTGTGATTCAGTCTTTTCAAACTGAATGAACTTATTGTTTAAAAGTCTAATAGCTCCAAAATTCAGTTTACTAATGCTTGATTTGTATAGTTGTATTCTGAACTGTGAAGGTGGTTTTGGTCCATGCTTTTTGTCTGATATTGTAATAATAATAAGCAGATAAAGGGTAATAGCAGGGTATTGAAATTAAATTTCAGATATCTCAAAATAGGAGAATCCTCTATTTGGTTCAGGTAAAATACCATATTGAGTTGGATGCATGATTGTCTTTTAGTTCAAGATCCATAATTTATAATAATGCCTTTTGAAGAGCCCTTTATGCTGCTTATGGCCGTCCATGGATATTTATGTATAAACATCTTGAGCATGCAATATAATTTGATAAAGGATAAGAATTTTTTATCTTTATTTGAGAGAGGAATTCATTTTCTGTTTGGACTTAGTGCAAAAGAGAAGGCTTTCTTCAAAGGATCAAAGAAGAAGACGGTGAAGGGTGCAATATATATGGATTTTTGGAAGTCAACAAAGTGGCTGGAAATTTCCATTTTGCACCTGGAAAGAGTTTTCAACAGTCAAATGTGCATGTCCATGATCTCCTTGCATTCCAAAAGGATAGTTTCAATGTAAGATCTTGTAACAGTGCCTGAATTCATTGTCTTTGTTCTCTACAAAATACTAGAAATGCAAATGCAACTTTCAAGTTTCTGTCTTGCTGCTCTGTTTTTTTTTTGGGTTCATTTTTGTTGATCTTGTGTTAACTTTACATGAAATGAAAATTATGCTACAGATAAGCCACAAGATCAATAGGTTAGCTTATGGAGACTATTTTCCGGGTGTTGTGAATCCTCTTGATGGGTATTTCCCTCCCTCTTATTCAATTATCTTGTCCTCTAATACTTACTGCATCTTACGTGTGAAAATTCATGTCCATTGTTTTTCTTGAAATTGCAGTGTGCAATGGACACAAAAAACTCCCAATGGGATGTATCAATACTTTCTCAAGGTATTTTGTGTTATGCCATACATATATCTTGTTGCCCTTTCTGCTTTTATGCTAAGTAGAGTAGATGTTTATGAGTTACTTTGATGGGATGGCCTTATTCTTATCCCTTTCACCCTTTTCCTTGTGAGAGATGATATATGAGTATATGAGAGACATAACATACCTCTATTAGCTGTGGTTTGTCCATGCGCAAGTATATTTTAATTGAAAGGATATTTGTCCACGATGATCTATATTTGTATTTCTTGTAGGTTAATTTAATTTTGGGAGATTGTAAGTCATTGATCATAATGAAAACTTGTTTTTCTGCAACTTTTTATTCTTTCTACCTAACTTAAGGTATTTAGGTGAAAAGTAACCCGATGTTTCAATTTTTAGGGGCAAGATTGTACATTCCAAGCATTCTTCCTCCACAACACTAAAAGGATAATCAATTTTTATTTTACTATTTTCCCTTTCAATTTTAAGAAATGAATTCTACTACCACCATTTTGTGCTATCACCAAATGAATGGTTGCAAAATATTGCAAAGTAATTTTTTGGGGGCATAATTCAATTTCAAGGTGATTGATAATCACCACCAATAATTGTACTTGTAAGACAGTCTTTAACTCTTTTTGCATTGAGAATAAACCAAATCCCAGCATGTGTTATTGAATCTTATTAGTAATAGGATAGGATGTAGACCTTTTGAGTGTAACAACACATAGATGCAAGGCACTTAACGAACAAATAAAATTTTTAGGGTATTTTCCCAGCTAGAAAGAGAGATATGAGTTTACAAATGTTTATAAATATATCAAATCGAGTACTAACAAATTGCTGAGTGAAGCAATAAGTTCGTGTTTCTTTCTGGGATTTATTAACTATATGCTTTTTGCAGGTAGTACCTACTGTATACACTGATGTTAATGGGTACACCATACAGTCAAATCAGGTTTGGTAACTGTGCAATGTTTAAACAGTTTTGTTGTTCTAACTTTGGCTAAATGTGAGCTGATGCATCTGCTGTTGTCCTCTTACAGTTCTCTGTAACTGAACATTTTAAGGGATCAGAAGCAGGTCAACTTCAGACTCTTCCTGGAGTTTTCTTCTTTTATGATCTTTCACCAATCAAGGTGAGGACGTGAGGTGTCATTATTCACTAGTTCACTCACTTTTTTTCTCCCATTGTTTGTTTCTCTCATTATTATGACAGGGAAAGCCAAAGTTTGTCCTTTCAAAGCACTACATTGAGCTTTTATTTAGCTTTTGACTAGCACCTTTATTCATCCTGACTGACCATGGTTCTTAACAACCATGATTTTGTTTTACTGATACAGGTGACTTTCACTGAGCAACATGTTTCATTCTTGCATTTTCTGACAAGTGTCTGTGCAATAGTTGGAGGTACGAATCACATTATCTGATGCATGTAATAGTTATTTAGTTGAATTGTTACTTGTTGTATGCTCTCACTTTGTCATTAGAAAGAAAGTATTTGTTTTCCTTGCATCCCTTAGCTGATTGCAGCTCTAATCTGATTCTTTCTGTTGCATTTTCTAGTTTATATGGGATGGTTTAGGGGATGTGTTTGCTATACTCAGCTAACATGTTTTGTTGGCCGTCTTCAGGGGTGTTCACTGTGTCAGGAATACTTGATTCATTCATATATCACGGCCAAAAGGCGATTAAAAAGAAGATGGAACTTGGTAAATTCAGCTAGCTGATCGGTTGGTATCCATGGTTTTGCCATACATGATCATCCATGTATCACTGCCAACTAACAGAATGAGCATGGCATGGAGTGTCTTTACATGTTTGCAGCCTGACTTTTAATTACAAGAGTTTTTGGGCATTGTACTGAGAGTAGAGAATTAGATCAATCTTTTTGTTCAATTTAATGAGATTTTTTCTTCTTATCTGTATTTGTGATAGTAATTTATGCAACTAACAAAATTCAAGGTCAAATATTAGAAACAGTTGGTTAAAAGAGAACCACTGCTCAATATCTCTTTCGATCATTTCCCCCTCTCTTTTCTTAAATGCCAATTTTCTAGCTCTTCTTAAAATTGGAACGCAGCTTTAGTATTTTTATTCTCCTCTTTAATTATTGAAGTTCATTTGGATTTCGTGAAACTGTCAACTATTTTCAAGCATTCATTAGCAATGGCCAATGGGTGAATATGTTTGTTATCATAGAATTCTTGCTCTGCTCAAAATACAGCTTAGAGAGTGTAGAAATAAGAAATTAGATATTTCAAATTAAACTTTTGAATTTTTATAGCTATAACAGCTATTTTGCTGCGAATTTCGAGTTTCTTCTTGATTTAAGACTAAAACCTGTCTTTCTATTGTTTTTTTGTGGGTTCGAGCCTCAGTGGAGGCGGACTATTGACTCTTTGTGCTTCAATAGATTGAAAAAGTAGTTATGAACAGATATTACATAGTAATACAGACTAAAACCTGTTATTCTATTGTTTTTTACCACACTAAGGTGGTGTTTGGTTGGGAGCTTTTGCATGCACTCTACTATGGATTTTGATATTCATTATCATGTTTGTTTGTCTACTTTTGTTATTCTATTATTGGAATCAAATTCTTTATTAATTACAAAATTCATTACTCTTTTACTTTTCTATTTTTGAACAATGGAACAAAAAATAAGAAAGAAAAAAAATGTCATTGTCCCCATGCATTAAATATGAAATTTTAATTTTAAATTGGTCATTTATGTTGGATATCTTCATTTCCTCCTTGTATTGAACATTACTTTAGTAAAGTTTGAATGTTTTTTCGTTACAAAAATTTAAAAAAAAAAGATTTATGTATGTGTATATATCTGTATTATATATTTTTATACATTTATTTATTTTGATTCTGATTCCTATTTAGTATCACACAGAGTAACTCATTCTACTTAAATCTATTACTATTACTAAATATTTGATTTGATTCCATTACCATTTCGATTTCAATGTTTGAACCAAACACACCCTAATTGTTTTCACATATTGAAAAACCTCTGCAAAGACATGGTGGTAGGCTTGAACATACTATGCCTCATGTTTGTTATGGTGCATATGTGGTGCCTATTTCACTATTTCTTGTTTTGTAGTATATATAATTTTAGTCAAGCTAGTTGAATAGTTAGTTCAGTAATCATAAAATTTAACTCTTCATGAAAGTTGTCTATTGACGTTTTCAAAAAAAAAATAATAATGATAATTGAAAGTTGTCTGTTGGCCTTCTATGGGCAACGTGGACTACTTGACTTTCACCTAAAGCGCATCTTAAGTATATAAATAAGTTTGATAGTTGTAAAAGGGAGTCATGTTTTGCAATAAATATTAAATAATAAAAAAGTATTTTTTTAAAAAGAGAATTACTCTGATCTTTAATTTATTCTAAAATTGGGAGTAGAAACCGCCCACCGCTTAATAATTTTGGTTCTCGGTTTTAGAATTTATTCCCCATTAAAATTGTTAATCGATGCAGGATTTGTAGATTACCAACCATTAACATACGTAAAGTGCAATACTCCCCGACTAAAGAGTGCTTCAGAATCATTCCCAGGATGAATATTCTTTAACTTGATCTTCAAGGGAGGATAAGCCTATCAGCCTATGCCCCTATTTGATTTGATTTCATTACAACCCTTTAAAGTGCAACGCATGCACTGTATTTGTCCAGTTCAAAAATCATAAATCAAAAGCAAAGATTCACATTAAAGCCAAAGAAACTGGATTTCCTTGAGCCTCCTTCTTTGCCTCGTGTGAACATGGAACCCAGAGTATAAAAAGAACAAGAATAAAGGAGAGAAAGTGGGATGGAATTCAATTCCAAATCTAACACAAGATTTTGGTTATGCGCATGCCCATTATACAGTACTGAAATATAAACCGTGGATAACCAATATTCTTTTCTCACATCATTACTCGAGATGAATTTTATTGACAGAGTAATTTTATGTAAGTATTTTGTAATTAGACGTGAGACTCAGATATTAAAATATTGACCGAGTAATGCTCCCAACAACTTTTGGATAGCCACTTGGGATAGGAGAACGACCTCGAAGTTGTACCAAATGCCAAAATTTCAACCAAAAGTAGATGCAATTAATTGATGGCTTGGTAGGGTTTCCCTGGGAGAGATGAAATGTGTACAAAAAGGAAACAAAAGTCAAAACTCACGAAAGTTTAATAATACTAATAATAATAGCAGTGCTGGGCTGGCAGGGAGTCATATTTGATTTTGATGGCGAGAAAACGATGAGCACTCTTACGTTGCCATTGCCATTATTGATCAAACCCGTGTTTGCTGTTCCAAGGAAACTTACAAACCATTTTCATTGGTTTACGAGAAAGTCGGGCAGTCACTACCTGAAAATGTATTCTTGGATAAAATTCATCTTGTGATCCTAATCAACAAAGAAATATAAAGAGATAAACTAACTTAGGGTTTTTTTTTTTTTTAATTTTTTTATTTTATTTTTTAAACATTTGGGTATGATTATATGGTCATACATATTAGGACTCTATTATTATTAGTATTCATTACCTATTGTTACTAGTATTAGTCTTGTATTAGGTTTGCTATTCGCTACTATATATATTCCTGTACAGACTTATTATTTGATTCATTCAGAAATATTATATCCTCATCTGGTATCAGCAGGTTCTTTTTCTCTCTCTCTATGGCGCACCTCAGTTCTGATGGCGGTTCTGTTGAAAGTTCTGAACGGACTGTTTCTGAGGCTGCGCTTGTGGCACCCCTACAGTCCGGGGTGTCGTTTTCTTCGGCTCATCACTTCGTTTCCATCAAATTGACATCCCGTAATTTTTTGTTTTGGCGCACTCAGCTTCTTCCGTTCCTGGATGGCCAAGGATTATTGGGTTTTGTCGATGGAACGTCTGTGTGTCCCCCGTTTACTGCGATTACGGTACCTTCTGCCGAGGAGGCTGCTGCTGTCGTGTCTTCGTCGGCCGTATCGTCCGCCGCTCGGAGTGCATGGCTTCGTCAAGATAAGGCCGTGCTCTCCTTGTTGATCTCGTCCTTGTCCGACGAGATGATGCATCTTGCCATCGGTAAAACCTCCTCTCGGCATTTGTGGGTGGCGATCGAACAGGTTCTTGGTTCGACGACTCGGGCCCGTGCTCTTCGGTTGGTGGGCGAACTGCAAGGATTGCGGCAGGGGGATGCTTCGATCCCGGATTATCTTGGGCGTGCTTAGGTGCTTATTGAGGATTTGGCACTTGCCGGCCGTCCGGTGACACTAGAAGATCAGAATATGTATATATTCCGGGGCTTGCGTTCCGAATATCGCCCTTTGGTGGCGTCGCTGACGAGGGGTGCTCCGGTGTCTTTACCCGAGTTATCCGATTTTCTTGTTTCGCAGGCCTTTATATGTGCTGATGATGGTGGTGACGTTGCTGCTGCTCCGGTCGCCATGGCGGCTCAGCGAGGTGGAGGTCGCTCGGGCGGGCAGCAACGTGGCGGCGGCAATCGAGGCCGAGGTCGTGGCAAGGGCCGAGGTCGCGGTCGAGGTGGCGCCGGGGCTGTCCAGTGCCAGATCTGCTCCGGCGAAGGCCACTCGGCCGCTTCGTGCTATCGTCGTTATGATGGCGCTCCGGGGCCGCGGGCACATGTTGCATATTCTGTTGATGATTCGGCTTCGGTTAATCCTCAGCAGTGGTTTCCTGACACTGGTGCGTCAAATCAAGCCACTCCGGATCCGTCTTTAATGTCCTCGGCGGTTCCTTATAATGGTCCGGATCATCTTCGTGTTGGTGACGGTAAGTGTTTACCTATTGTTAGTACTGGTTCATCTTCGTTAGCCGCATCTAAAACACTGTTTCGATTGTCTGATGTTCTTCATGTTCCTGGGCTTTCTGTGTCTTTATTGTCTGTGCAACGGTTTGCTCGTGATAATAATGTCTTTTTTTAGTTTCACCCTGATTGTTTCTTTGTGAAGGATCGTTCAACCAGGGAAGTTCTATATAAAGGGCCGGCTTCGGGGGGTCTCTATTCTTGGCCTGTCTCTCGTTCAAGTCCCGCTGCGTTTGTGGCCTCTCGAGTCTCCTCTGACGTGTGGCATAGCCGGTTGGGTCATCCTCACCCGCGTGTCTTGCGGCAGATTTTAAATTCATGTTCTATTCAGTCTAGTTTTAGTGATACCTCGGAATTGTGTCGTGCTTGTATGCTTGGGAAATCCTCACGGTTTCCCTTGCCTCGTGTCAATACTACTACGTCTCATGTTTTAGAACTTATATATACTGATATTTGGGGCCCAGCGCCTTTTCTTTCCGTCAATGGCTTTCGTTATTTTGTTTTGTTTGTTGATGACTATACGCGCTATGTATGGTTTTATCCTATGCGTTTGAAAACTGATGTGTATGCTATCTTCGAGCAGTTTCGGTCACTAGTTGAGCGTTCATATGGTCGTAAGATTGTCTCTATTCAATCTGATTTAGGGGGAGAGTATAAACGGTTGCACCGTACTTTTGTCTCTTTGGGTATTAATCATAGGCAGTCTTGTGCCTATACCCATGAGCAGAATGGTAGAGTTGAGCGTCGGCATCGTCACGTTGTGGAAACGGGTTTGGCTCTCTTGGCCCAGGCTTCGGTTCCACAACGATATTGGGATTATGCCTTTGAGACTGCGGTCTATCTCATCAATAAGATGCCGACTCGGGTTTTGGATAATGATAGTGCTCATTCTCGGTTGCATCGTTCTAGTCCTTCTTACTCTTTCTTGCGTGTGTTTGGCTGTCTCTGTTATCCTCTGTTACGCCCGTATAATCGTAACAAGTTGCAGTATCGGTCTTCTCCGTGTGTGTTTCTTGGTTATCCGCCTTCGTTTCGTGGCTATCGTTGTTTTGATCCTGCTACTAACAAGGTATTCATTTGCCGTCATGTGCGGTTTGATGAAACCATATTTCCATATGCTTCTTCTGTCCCCTCTCAGGTCTCTAGCTCTCGCCCGATTGAGCCGTGGGGTGTTGGCGCCGTTCAGGTTGGCGCGAGCTCCGGTGTTTGTTCTGCTGGGCCGGATCCTTGTCCGGAGATGGACACGGATTCCGGGGCTGCTGGTGCTGCTTCTGATTCCCGCACCGAGACTGCCGTGGCTCCAGATGTGGCAGTCTCGGGTGCTCCTAAGGCGCCCAAGCGAGGTCGGCGCGCGGTAAAACCGGTTCCACCTCGGTCTCATGTTATGGCGACTCGTTCTTTGGGGCCGACGCAGCATGTGGCTCTTATGACTGTTTCTGAGCCGACCTGTTATTCTCAAGCAGTTCGGTATCCGGAATGGCGTGAGGCCATGGATCTTGAGTTTAATGCCTTGCTCCAGAATCACACTTGGCGTCTGGTTAGTCGCACACCTGGTATGAATGTTGTAGGCTGCAAATGGGTGTTCAGGACGAAGCGCAAGGCTGATGGCACGATTGAGCGGCACAAGGCTCGGTTGGTGGCTAAGGGGTTCAATCAAGTCACAGGACAGGACTTTTTTGAGACCTTCAGTCCTGTTGTAAAACCCACAACCGTGCGGCTTCTTCTCTCCTTGGCTGTCTCTCGCGGTTGGGTAATTCGGCAGTTGGATGTTCACAACGCCTTTCTGAATGGTAATCTTGCAGAAACAGTCTACATGCGACAGCCGCCTGGCTATGAGGACTCGTCACGACTGGATGATGTATGCTTATTACAGAGGTCACTCTATGGTCTTAAGCAGGCTCCTCGCGCATGGTTTAACAGGTTACATGCTTTCTTGGTGTCGGTTGGTTTTTCACCTTCAAAGACTGATGTCTCTTTATTCATATACACTCGTGACTCTGTATCTTTATATGTGCTTGTTTATGTGGATGATATCCTTGTTATGGGATCTGATGCTTCGCGTGTTACTCGGCTTCTGACTGACTTAGCCTCGGAGTTCAAGATTCGTGACATGGGTGCTCCGTCTTTTTTTCTGGGCATTGAGACGGTCTCTCGTGGTGATGGTTTGTTTCTTTCTCAGCAGCGATACATGCGAGATATCTTGAGACGTGCAGGTATGGTGGACTGCAAGCCGTTGGCTACTCCGGTGCCTGTGACTCGACCCGTTTCTGAATCTGTGGTTCCTTATGCCGATCCCACGCAGTATCGCAGTCTTGCTAGGGCTCTGCAGTATCTTACTGTCACTCGCCCGGATTTATCTTTTGCTGTGAATCGGGTCTGTCAGCATATGCACTCCCCGACTACTGAGCATTGGGCAATGCTCAAACGTGTTCTGCGGTACGTTAAAGGCACTTTGCATTTTGGTCTGTTTATTCGCCCATCCTCCTCTGTTGCAGTGCATGCTTTTTCGGATTCGGACTGGGCTGGGGACCCCGCTGACAGAAATTCTACTAGCGGCTTTGCGGTTTTTCTTGGTGACAATCTGATCTCTTGGTCTTGCCGGAAGCAACGTACGGTTGCTCGTTCGTCTACAGAGGCCGAGTACAAGGCACTAGCTGACGTGTCTGCTGAGGTCACCTGGTTGGTTTCTCTATTGCATGAACTTCGGTTGCCGTTGGCAGCTCCTCCCACTCTCTGGTGTGATAATTTGGGTGCAACTTATCTCTGTTCCAACCCGGTGTTCCATGCTCGTACGAAACATGTGGAAATTGACTATCACTTTGTTCGTGACAAAGTGGCAAAGAAAGAGTTGCAGGTTAGCTTCATTTCTACTAAGGATCAGCTGGCTGACGTGTTCACTAAAGCTCTCCCTGGTCCGCGTTTCTCTACTCTGTGTGGCAAGCTCAATGTTGTAGCTAGTCCACCTTGTGCTTGAGGGGGAGTATTAAGACTCTATTATTATTAGTATTCGTTACCTATTGTTACTAGTATTAGTCTTGTATTAGGTTTGCTATTCGCTACTATATATATTCCTGTACAGACTTATTATTTGATTCATTCAGAAATATTATATCCTCATCATACATAACCAAACATCAGTATTGATAATCATTTCAATTTCACCTTACTACCAAACATGCAAAATACTTTCACCAAAACCTATTCTAATTACCAAGTATTTGATTCTCATTTCCATTTCGATTCCCATGTTCGAACCAAACATACACTTAAATTTTGCATATATAGTGAATCGGCTCAAACTAAAAAACCAGGTCACATCTAACCATGTTCTTTTTTTTCCCTTCTGGTTTTTTTTTTTTTTTTCACCATGAGAAAGTGTTTTAGTTGAGAAGACGAGATAGGTATTATGTATGTGGCCAATAATATTGGAGAGAGAAAAAATACGTATTTTAAATTTCTAATGCATAGGATGATTAGAATAGATTAACGAATATAATGAAAACTAATAACCTATAATAAAACTTGTATTCTAGAGTTGTAGCCTGTAGGTAATCAAAAGTCAAAACTACAAAAGTATAAACAATACCAGATTATTAGCTTTAAGTCAATAGAAAATAATATGAGTGAATATTTCGGTTCGAGTAATCCAAAATTTCAAACTAAATCGAATCGAATCAAAATTGAATTAAATAATTTAGTTTTGGTTTATTATTAAAAATTGATCGATTCTATATTTTATAAATTGAATGGTTTCGATTCAGTTTTGTTAAAAATTATATCAAACCAAAAAAAATTGAATAGTTTTCTTTGAAAAATATATATTAAATGATTATATATTTTATTTATACCAAATTGTTTTTATATTTATAAGTTTACCCATATATATATATATATTAAATCCTAAATTTCATCTTAAATTTTTACAGTTGTTCTTTATTCCTATTTTACTTTACGAGTCTGTGACGTTGCTGTCTAACTGCAGACGCATGTGAAGAGCTAGGTTTGGACTTATTTTAGATTGAGAAATTTAAAATATACCTTGTAGACTTATTTTTTAGATTTTTAAATTTAAAATTATTAATGAAAATAAATAAATATGTGCTTAAAAGAGCTAGAGAATGTTTTGGTTCTCAAATCAAATTGAAATCGGATCCGAAATCGAACCAAAACAAAACATAACTAAAATTTAAAATTAAATAGTTTTATTTTTTCAAAACTAAAAAACCAAAATCAAATCAAACTCGAAAAAAAAAAAATCGAAAGTCAAAATGTCCACCTCTAGAAAATAATGAGATCAGGCCCCTCAAGCTATGGAAACACTGAAGAAGTCTTATTTATTAACCGCTCATGAATTAATTAGTTTGCTTTAGAAATTTAAGAGCGAATAAATACTAATGTGAACTATGAGTCTATGAGAGAGTATATTTGGGAACTCCATAAAATTATGCATTTGTATGCCGACACTTCAATTATTATTTTATTTTATTTACCATGTTTATTAGTCATAATTAATTTAACATTTTTCTTAAAATACTAGTTTATGTGGCCTAATGATCATTTTTCATATTTTAGAATCTAAAAATTAAAATTTAACTCAAATTCTTTTCTTTTTTTTTTTACGAGTCCGGACTCAAATTCTAAAGATCTTGATACCTCAAATGATTGCATAATATAAGTCTAACTTGTAATATATACAAATAACTATTATCACTAGCTACCTCAACATTCCTCATTTCCTTCAATTATTTTACTTTTTTGGTATATACATCTCACCATCCAACCCCTCCATTTGTTTGATTACATTCACTAAACCCAAGTTTAATTTCATATAATCTCATATGTGAAATTTTTTATACTAACAAAAAATTCACTATTGAAAAATATCATAATTTTCAATCATTAGAAAGTAGTTAAAACTTAGAAATCTATGGTTGAAATTTTAGTTTCTATCAACTTTGAGGATCTACAAAAATATTTCTCACTATATTTGACTACCAATTAAATGTGATCAATAATTAATATCGATTACCAAGAAAGGACATTGAAAATTTGGACAACTAAATCGATCATGATAGCCCGCCGTTACCAACTAGTTTGGTCTTTTGGACCACTAAAGAAACAAAAAATAATTTTTTTTATTAAGGTAATAAACTTTTTCAATCACTTATTACCGTAATCGGAGATATTGAAAATTTTCCTAAATCTCTGATTATTTCTGTATGGTTTATTTTCAAATGTCTTCTAATTAGTTTCTTTTCATTTATGTTAGTCGCATGCAATAATAAATCTCGTACATGCACACAGTCATTAATACATAGAGAGAGAAAGAAAAATGTAATCTAATTTTGTAGGTTTAGATATAGCATCACTTTATATACTTCAAGTTTGAATATTTGGTCCCTATAAACTCTGGCAAACCTTTAAAACATACAGACTAAAAATCACTTTTCTGGATTGGCCCTATTATTTATACATGTGTTTAGGGTTTGTCTCATCACAAACTTTTACTTTCTTGTACATCTAAAAGTTAACAAAAATTAAAGTATTATACTTAAAGCCTTACACATATCCGTAGTATGTAACTAATGCTTTTTTTTTTTTTTTTGAGAAATGTAACTAATGCTTTTAAAAGTGTTCTTTTCGTCAACTAAGTAAAACTTTTTATTCTAAAGCTCTCACATCAACTCAATTGAATAATGAAGGGATAAATTACTTGTGTCTTAGTATAATATATTAAGTGCTACTTCTATCGAATACTACAAAGAGTTTGCCAGATTAAGTATTATATTACTCTACCATTTTGATTGTCAGGTCTTTATTTTAAAATTTAAAAAAAAAAAAAAAAAAAAAAAAAAAAAAAAAAAACTATAGATGGTCAAGGCAAGACAAAAAGAGTATCAGACCAGAGTGTGATGTTGGGAACAATTAATAATTAAAATTAATAAAACTACTGAAAATTAAAGGAAATGATGACTACAATAATAAGGTAGGGATAGCCTTTTCTGCAATTGCCAAAAACTCCATTGCAGTAGGCTCCCCAGTACATCAAGCTATTCAAGATTACATCACTGATGACTAGATAGTAGATACTGGGTTTTTTTTTTTTTTTTTTTTTTTTTTTTTTTGCAAATTTTAAGGAAGATGACATGATTATTATAAAGAATCCCAGTCAATCTCGTAAGATGGAAATTTGTGCAGGTCGGAGCACATGTCCCACGTGGATTCTTCCCCGGTGAAGTCTGGGAATGTGAGATCCGACACTGGGGATGATTCGTCTGACGCGCCGCCGGAGCCGGAGCTGTCGGAGCCAAGCTCCACCGCCTTGCTCTTCTCCTCCGCCTCTTCCTCCTTGACTTTGGGTTGCTTGGATGAAGACGACGAGGAGCCCTTTGACTTCTTGGAGTCAATGCTCTTCCCCTGAGCCATGTTCTTGCAAATGGCTTGGAGCTTGGCGTCGACGGAGGAGTGGAGGGGCTTGTACTCGCCGAAATCGCCGCCGATGAGGGAGCCGTTGTGGCGGAGGTGCGGGAAGTTGAGGCGCGCCAGATCGCCTCGGAGCTGGTAAGCCGCCTTGTCGTACGCCAGCGCCGCCTCCTCAGCCGTGTCGAAGGTTCCAAGCCAGAGACGCGTCCGGTTCTTGGGCAGCCGAATCTCCGCCACCCATTTCCCCCAGTGGCGCTGCCGCACCCCTCTGTACAGCTTCGTCGGCTTCGGCGCAGCCGAAGCCGACTGCTTCATGGGGACACCTCTCGGGCCCAAAAAGCTAACCGTCTGGGCCTGATGATGACTCTGCTGCTGGGCCCACTGAGCCTGAAACGGGCCCGAACTTAACCCGTGCCCCGCCGGTAGATTCATGTGAGCTTGGATCTGGTTCATCTGAGTGGCCGTCAATTGATTCAGCCCGATACACCCCGGTTGCTCAAACCCGAAGCCCGAACCCCCCTGCGAAGAAAACATATGGGTATCGGCGGTGGAGCAACCGTCGGAGCTCGTAATGGCCGGCGCCGACGAGCCAAAACCGGAATAATCATAACCACAGGGATAAGAAACAGAGGGAGAAGAGAAAGAAAACGAAGAAGGGTAAAAGGAAGAAGTTTCAGAGGGGAACAGAGAAGAAGAAGAAGGAGGAGGCGGCGGCGGTAGAAGAGGAGAAGCCGTCTTGATCATAAAAGGCTCAAGCGCTTCCATGAGCTCACCGCCGCCATTAAAAGCTTCATCTACACCTGTACTACTACTCCACATTGAAGCCGCCATGCCTAAACTTAAAAGCTTCCAAACAAAAATAATTTTTTAAAAAATAAATAAATTATAAAGTCCACCTGATTCTTACCAAAATTAAAGAACAGGGTGGAGGGTAATATTAATCTTAATTAACACCAGAAAAATATACACAGAATAGAAATTAAAAAGGGGAAATTCAAATAACAACCCCTTTTTTACAGGCTTGATAAAGATCAAACCTTTGAGGGACAACTAATAAGCCCTCTAAATTTTGCAGCAAAAAAAAAAAAAATTAAATTAAACCAAAAAGATCTCGTTTCTGAAAACACCTGCTTCTGGTAACAGATTTTCTAAAATAAGCATTAAAAATCGTTTCTTTTGTCCAGAAAACTTGTTGAAAACAGATGATTTGCAGAAAGGGATCAAAGAAGCGGGGATGCCAGAGGGGAGAGGGGAAGAAAAAAAAAATCAAGAAATCTCAAGAAGAGTGAGGTGTGTGCGAGTGTGAGGAAATCTAAGGGAAGAAATGGTGGAAATCTCTATCTCTCAGCCTCACCTTTTGTGGGGTTTCTGCTACTCCCTGCATGCCTTTATATAGCCCCTTTTGCCCACAGTTTTACTCTCCTTAACCCTCCTCGTTATTCACTCCTTTCCTGTGTTCCACCCCGACGTCATCCTCGTCACTCTTCCCGTTCCCACCAATACGCCCGCGACGCCTGTGGTCTAAGATAACGCGTCCCTTTGTTCATGACACCTGTCAGTTGCCTTCGCTCCCATGAGTCCTAACCCAGAAAGTCCGAAGCCGTGTTGACCGGGTGCCGGCCCGTTTCACACTTGCCTAGTTGGCTCCCGTTTCCGGGCGTTAATACGGTTGTCATTTTCTTCTTTTTTCTTTCTTCTTTTTTCACTTTTCCCCCGTTTTACTCATGACAGACAGGATATTTTGGATAATAAAATGACAAATACTTGTCGTTTAACGATAGAGGTAAAACTACACTTTAACGGCATCCTCCACTTGTTAACGTTTTCCGTAATCAATAGTCAAGGATAATCATGCCGCTTTATTTCATCTTGGAAAGTGTCATCAACCATAGGGTTCTTAAATTTTATCCGAAATTAATAATCTAACCAGATAAGATTGATTTTTTTTTTTAAATTAGGGTTAAAATTTTTAACTCAATAAAAAATCAGACCGATAAATATGAAATTAATAAGTTTGACCGTCCGAACGAACTAGTCTATAGTACGAGTCACTTAATGTTATTCTTTATTTCACAAATAATTTCAAATAAAATATACATAGAATTTATATGTAAGCTCATCTCTAGCTTTTCTTTTATTAAATTTACAAATAAAATTTTAGTAAATCTATTACAAAATAAAAAAAAAAGTATGAAAATAAATAATGAAAAATAAACATTATTATAATTATTATATTATAGTATAAATATATTAATTATTTTAGTTCAAATATGGAAATGAATGTTTAAATTGATTAAAGGGAAAATGGCACTTTTTCCCCCTAAGTTATATATTTATAGCACTTTTTCTCCCTCAATTATTTAAGTGGCTCTTTTTCCCCCTGAAATGTTAAATGGACGTATTTACCCTTAAAATTCATTTATTTTTATTCTCCAACAAATTATTACTATAATTTGGTTCAAACCAAACAGATACTATAGCAACCAAACCAAAATATTCCAATTACAATTTATAATCAAAACGCGATATTTAGAGTTTATTAAAATCGCGAACCAGAATGACCGGTTCATATTCCGAACTGAAAAAATAAAATACATTTATTGTTGAATTTAGACTATTTTAAAATAAAAAATAAAATTTTAAAATAAAGACGGTTCAAAATCGCAAACTGGATCCGGAACTGCCGGTTCACTGTTCATGATCCAGTTTTTTTTTTTTAATTCTTAAATTTAATAAATTGAAATCAAAATATTGGGTTCTAGATCTGAATCATAACTGAAAATTTTTAATTCGATTGCTATAGTGTCTGGTTCAGTTCGAATCGAACCGTGGTAATCGCTACATATACGCAATAATTTGTTGGAGAAGTAAAATAAATAAAATGCTTACTTTAAGGGTAGAAATGTCAATTTAATATATTTGGAGAAAAAACCACCACTTTTAAAATAATTGAGGGGGCTAATGTGCTTACATAAATAATTGAGGGGGAAAAAGTGTTATAAGTATATAACTTAGGGGGAAAAAGTGTCATTTTCCCTTGATTAAATGATGTTTAAATTTATACTTCCTTCATCCTATTTTATGTGTTTGATTAAGTTAATGAGCCTTAACTGAAAGTTATTTTAAATTCAATAATTCATAAGATTAAGTTTAATATTAATATATAAATTTTATATATTTTGAAATTATAATAAAAGCGCTATTAAACACCAAAAAAATAAATTTAAAAATAATTAGAAATCTTAAAGGAAATAACCAAAGAAGACTTAGATGGTTTGACCAATGAATAATAAATATGACAAATAAATTATAACATAATTTATTAGTGTAAATGCAATTAGTTTATTAAAATTGAAAGTTTAAAATGTCAAATGTTTTAGTTAAGCTTGTCTGATAAGTCCGATCGCCTGAAGTTTTAGAATTATGATCAATAATTTTAAACTTGAAGAAAAATTGATAAATTTGATAGCTCGAATTATGATCAATAATTTTAAACTTGAAGAAAAATTGATAAATTTGATAGCTCGATAAGGTTCGCCCAAAATTGAATAAGGCAATTAGATTGAGTGATTGACATCCTAATTAATCATACATAATAAATATTTATTAAAACAAACATGATGTGATAGTTAAATTTTTTTTTTTATAGATAGTCACATGATAAGGTTCTAAGGAGTAGTTGAGGGTTGTGGAGAACTGTAACGGTCTAAATGAGCTAGAACTTGTAATATATTAGTAGTGTAATGATTAAGAGAGTAGATTAATTACAATATCCTTAGAATTATCATTGTGTTAGAATGCGTAATCATAGTTTAAAATATGTGATTATTGGGATTAATTATAAGGTTTGAATCAACAAGTTATTGTGAATTTACATATGATAGGTGACATTATATTAAAATATTTTTAAATATAATATATGCACTATCACAAATAAAATTAAAGAAAATCTTAATTAGGGGCAACTCCATAAAGACGGTTAATTTGGTAATTACTAAATTATATTACAAATTTAATTGCTAATGAGAGTAGTCATTATTTATCAACTAAGGTCACGTGACAAGTAATATTATTGCAAAACAAGTGACTGGGCATAGGAATGAGAAATTTATTGCTTATTGTGTATTTTATGCTTATATAGACGATCTGCACAACACATGTCACACTTCCCATGTATCTTGGCATGTAATTTACATGCACTGGGCTGCTTAGGCGGTGCTAACACGTGTTAAAACCACAAGGTATACTCTTATGAGACAAATAGTAATGTCACGTAGAGCGCACATATAGGATGATATGTGCTAGGTAATTAAAGTAGTGAGGTTCAACATAGCCACATAGGTCTAAGTTAGTTGCATATCGAATTGGGTTGTGTGTGGCCGGAATGGATCGGATAAAAACGAATGATTTTTCCTATCAGTGAGATTTATTCTGTACATATCTTCAAGTAGCAGTTGTAAATTTCATTCGTCACTTAAAAAACCTTAATTAATTAGATTAAATAAATATTTTCCTTATTTCTTTCAAATGAATAATTAAGTCAACGAAAAAATAAAGGATTTATATGGAGAGCAGGAAAAACGTGAAGGAGGAGCTCCGGGGGTGACCGCGAAGAGAATTGAACTGTGGTTTAGTTCCGGCGGAGACGGCGGCGGGGAGTAAGAGACTGCGCCATGGGAGCCAACGTGGACAGCTGCGCGTAGAACAGTCTCCGTATTTGCGGCGCCGATCGCTGGATATGCTTATGGATCCTATGCCCATATGTACTTGAGTAATTGATCGTCAAAACAAGTTCTGTGTATTTAATTTGCGTTATGTACAAGCATGAGCGCAGACATGGGTTTACCCAATTATTCGTCAACTCCATTTCTTTATTTATTACTCCGTATTTATTATTTTTTTAAAATAACCACAATTCTTTACAAGTTAGTATTTGTCCTATACTTTCTTAATCAATTTTCAGTCCAAAGAATGTCTTACCACTGAGATTGAGATTCAATACTCGACCACTCAATTAGAATGGTATCAGAGATTTCATCATACTACATAGTAGTTGATCATTTTTTTTTTACTTATTTTAAAGCTAATTATAATATCCACATTGCACGACTAAATTAATATTCAATGTAAAAATTAAAATAAGTAAATAATTAATGTATTTTTTAAATATTAAAATTAATCAATAATAAATAGAATTTTTTTGAAAGGAATAAAATAGAATTAATTATTTTCAATATAATTAAAATCACTATATTTTTTAATGACCAGGGAAACTCGCAACTAAATTCAATATTTTCAACTTATGATAAAAAAAAAAAAAAAAAAGGTAATAATAAAGAAAAATATTATAGATAATTAGGATCAAAAATAAAATTTTGGTCTTCACAATTTCTCATGACTATTGATGAGTCGGTAAAAATTGACTTTTTTTTTTTTTTTTTGGGTTAAAAATGGCATGTCTAAATCTGTAATGAGCTTTCTAATATTTGTGAAGCTATATACAGTGTATGAATTCATAGGTGATTTAGTAGATTTACTATGAATTATTGTAGTTTTTATTCCCTTTTCATAATCTTACCCCATGATTGGTGGGAAAAAAAAAAAAAAAAAAGTGAACCCCTTAGCATCAATATTAGTCCATCACTGCATGAGTTTCGAAGATGCAATAAAAATTATACAAATTTTGAAGTATCACATTTTATTTCATTCAAAGCATATCACGTTTTATTTCGTTCAACATGAAAATCAAGTAATTACTCGTCGGTATTCAAACTGTGTACTTATTTGCTTCCTTATGAATATAATCGGTTAAGTAAAGTCATTATGACGTTATTTGTTAAGAAGGTATTGAATTGCTTCTATATTGTTAGATACCATTACATAATCTTGATATTTGATAATTACTTTAGATCATTATTATTTTTTATCTATAAAAGATAGTGACTCTAAATATTAAACTGAAAATAGACGCCAAAGACTGGTATCCTTCTATTGATACATGCCTCTCGCATTGTATATTGAAGGGTCGCATAAGGAATCTCAATAACCTTCAAACCATGTTCATGGAGAAGAGAGGAATTGGCCAATGGATTATAATTTTGAATCATGTGAAATGTGAAGCTTGTTTATAATTTGGGAAAGAGTTATAATATATGTACTTCAAATCTTACACACAAATCTGGTGAGCATTGATAAACTACTTTTTATGTGTGAGAGTAAAAATTAGTAGAAAATGAAAATACGCATAATATTTTCCTTTGGAAAAATATATAAAAATGGTACTACGTACACTGAACTGCCGCAAACCTGGGTTAATGATGAGGTGACCACATAGAGTGGTTGAGTTGGTTGACCAATTAATAAAGGTTTAAGACTTGAA